GATCTTTTGCTCATGAATGTTATTAATAGCAGGTCGACGCCTTACCTTTACCCCTTCTCTACATGAGTGCTTTGATCTCTTTTTGAAATACCAGCTAAGCCGGGAATAACGAAGTTTTCTAAAACGTCTGTGGATATTTTTTCGTTCTTGATAGAATCAGAACTCAGTAGAAGTCGAATACTTTTAATATTGTTTTTAAATATTATTAAAATACATAAATGTTTTCCAGAAATAGCTTTACGAATAAGAATATCTTAGCTAACTGGAGTTGGTGGCATCTCTGATTCATTATGAATCATTGGAAAATGGACGATAGGGTTCTTTTCCTTGCTTATTTAGATAATATTGTCGTCAGCTACAACTAGAAACATGCCTTCCAAAGCAATAATCTAGCTGTTATAAATCCTTCTGTTACTGCAGAAATTATCTCAATTCAACTTAATTACTATAAATTATTTATAATCGCTTCTCTCAGGACATTTCCTTTCGTACTCGCTATTAATGTTATCTCGCTCATGGCCCAGTTAATCCGGCTTTCAGTTTTCCGATCTAGATCTCCGAGGAAGGATAGACTTTACGGACGAGTGCTTTGATTTTGGGATTAACTTTCAGCTCATGAATGTATAGATAAATGGTTTTGTGGTTATACACCTATTTCAATAAACGTCGTCATCGCCAAAGACAATAGGCGATAGGTCATCCCAACATGGAAATGGTTTCGTTGAATACAGTCGACTCTCCCGTAAGCGACCACCCCGGGGCTAGGAGAAAGTGGTCGCTTACGGGAGATGGTCGCTTACGAGAGTGGTCGTTCAAAGAGAGTCGACTGTACAAAGAACATCGAAAATCAGTTATCGAGAATAATAATAAGAAGCAACACAATTCATTCCAGCTATTCTTGTAGGGATCTTGGAATGACATATATCTTATTGATTTTCGCCTATCGCTTACTGTCTATCGCCTTTGGCGATGACAACGTTTTTTGAAATAGGTGTAAGTTATGCTTTGTTGTGAAGGGGCTGATTCACGTACCGATATCCAGGTTTACCATGAGGGAAACAAATCACTCATCCCTCCCCTCGCACAAAACCGCACATGTACAATAATTCACGTTTCCAATTTAGAAGAGGAACTGGATGGGGTTTACTGACAGCTGACAGATGCCATAAAATTAAATTGACAACCCACAAAAAGAATGAAATTTAACTGATAATTAACATCTGACATGTGGACCCCCCTTACAACTCTCTCAAAACGTTCCTATAAGATATCTTCATTTTCAAAAGCTGTTTGTTATATGTTATAGGACATAATTCGCTTTAATTGGCACTTTTGTTTCTCATCTTCCAGTTCAAGTCGTTAAAACTCTAACCAACTACGAAAGTGTGTTTTAAGCAGCTGTTTCGAACTCTGCTGACTTCTTTTTTCTGTTCTCTTGAAGATGTTACTATTGTTTTTGTTGTCGTTTGATGCTGTGGTTGTTGTAGCTGTTGCGATTGCTGTTATGGGCGTTGCTTTTAGTGTTTGCAACTGTTGTTACTGTTGTTTATAATGATAATGATGGTGGTGGTAATGGTGTTATATGACAACGACTATGACTGAAGAATATGCTGTTGATATTGCAAAATATCACTCATCTTACCATTTAGCAACAGATTCTAACGTTCCTTTCTGTTGTGGCAAATCTTTGGCTTCGTAGAAGTCAACGTGAAGGAATCCCCGACCAGCTTCTGTACTGCCTGTCTCTTTGTAATGTCTTGCGTCAACTTGGATCTCTTGCGCGTTGCTGTACATCAAACCAAGCAGTATTCTTGGTTTACCCAAAGATTCTAACGGAGGCTGTTACGAAAAATATGGAAATTTATTATAGTTTAAGAAGACGGTAAAACTGACCGGGGAAAGAATCTGAATCGGGCAAAGATTTTACTTTAACTTACATATCTGACAATAGAGCCTTGAAATGTTTCGTTGGAATAAAGTCTAATTCGATGAATTAAGTTATTTTAGAGCAGAATGATTTCGTGTAAGTGTATGTTACAAAGCATAATGTCACATGACACATGACACAAGGCACGGTACGACATTGTTGGCATTCTAGCTAGCGCTCAAACTTTCTTATACCAAGCTGAGTTAATAATTCATTTTAAAAACCTGTACTTGTTTCTAATGGTTCTTAAAAGGAACTTTACGTCAAAATATTATTATTATATACATTGCCGTCGACATGAAGATCTAACAGGCATTGTGGTTTTTTTGGCGTCTGTGATCCTCCTATAGACCGCGCCCATTCGTTCAATATTGACCCTTATTATGATATGCTTCCACATCTTGTCGTAAATCGGTCAAGAAACGAGATGCGGAGCTCACTTCTTTGATGCCACGATTTCCCTCAAGTCATATCCCTCTTTAGATCTTGGTTTGATTAGGCTTTCAATTTGTGCGGTCCATTTTATTTTTGCTAATTCTAAATTGTCCTTCCTAATTAGAACATTAGGTAAGCTTATTTCAAAAATTTAAAAAGTAATCTAGAATAACTTCAGTACGATAGCACTAAGAGTTTTCAGTAATGAAAATGCAATCAATTATGTATATATGCATGTAGAGGACCAGAAGAGATATGGTATGATCTCTATATTTATCTATTAATACCTTGAGTGATATCAGTATATCCATTGGATAACCAATACCGCCCATGATTTTCTGAGGGAATAGTTTCGTGACTTGATGAGGGTCGCCAATAAAATGAACAACCACGGTGATGACACTGGAATTGTGCAGCTGATCGTATGTCATGTATTCTCCTCCTACAAAAACGAAAAAAACCCACAATATTAACATATCGTAGTCGAGCTAGCCTTAAACAGTTGTATCCTACGTACAAACACATCAATGCTCTAACATCAATATAAATCTATATTATCTAAAAATAGATTCAATTGTGTTCCTGCCTCCTATCATGGCTGCCATCACGTGATGGTGCAAAGCCTCTATAGACCTCCTCGGCTCGGGTGTAATGTTTTCCATTTCAGATCACGTGTATTTCCCTTGAAAACAAGATTCTTTGTTTGAGCTGTATCCCTATTCATGTCTCTTCTCATATTCAATCGAGCGCAACCGTTTAAGCAAAGAAATGATACTCTAGGGAGTGCCGAGGAGGTGTATTGGTAACATCAATACGCAATTAGGAGGTAAGAGACCTCCCCGAATCTGGTCACGAAGCCAGGACAGGGTAACCCGCAACTCGTGATGGGCAAAACCGGCGATATAGTGCTATAAAAAGAACCAAAATAGCCAGCGAAGTCAAGGTCGACTTTGAATAATATTCAAAAATAAAAGCCGACCGCAAGAGCAGAGATTATGTGGTTTGTGACTATAAACCAATGTTTCATAATCGCGTCTAGACCAGTAGCACATTAATAAGAATACAAAGCGAAATTAAAGGATTAGGTGGACCACTTTTGAACGTAAGACATTGATTACTACTGATATTAGACCAATAATCTCTAAATAAAAGCGGATTTTCTTTAACTAGTATAAGTGTTTGGTTTGTTTGAAATGATGTTCAATTTGCGCATTCCATTTGGACCATTGCTTGGTCGTCCTATGACATTCGCCTTGGTTACAATTATCTACGACTCATTCACAATATCCTCAACAATTTTTGTTTTCAAACTTAAATAAATGTCTGCTATCTTAGTTTCATCGAAATACTTTTTAGTTCCCTTATATCGTCAGCAGAGCGCATGCGCAAGCGCAGTATCGATGCATGCTTCTATTCTGTTTCGGGTTTCAGAGGCGCTGTAACGTCACTACTGAAAATAGAGTTTAATTCTATCGGCACTTTGTACATGCAATGAACTAACTATGGGGCTGAGGTGCTAAGGTGCTCTTTTCCAAACAAACCATACATCAATCTTATCGAACCCTGAAACAACCTTTGGACTGATCTAARTCAGGGCACGGCTAACTTAAAGATGGAATAATTTAGCTTGTTAGGCTGTTTCTGTGCTGATTGACTGTTTATTTTATCTTGACTATTCACACATTCAACTACTTCGTCGCCGTCAGCTCGATACATTATTCATTTCTTGCTTCCTTCACCGTAACAAGATCCCGGTGATGATTTTCATTTGTTGTGCGCCTTCAACTCTTAGGCATTTTTGCATGTCCTAGACCAATTTATAGGTATTTGCCTATTAGTTTCTTTAAAAAATGACAGGAACTTTAAAATACCATTTTTGATTTTCCTACAAGACCAGAAAAGGCTCATGGAACAAACTAGTCTTTGGATATGAAAAAAGCAGCTAATTAAACTCTTCTACCGACCACAACAAAATCCAACCAGAAACCACCGATGGCACAACAAAGCGAACCGTCGTCAACTTAAAAGGGATAAACCACAACACATTAATTATAACCAATTAGGGAAATAACACACGAAACAGTTAGCTTAAGCTAAACGGTAGGCATGCAATTCACTTGTTCTTCAAGGTGGCTTCTTAAGTTTGTTAAAAGAACGTGTGTCCCGATAGGTTTGAAATCTCCCACTTCTAACGCGATTAAAAAACCATGAGTTAGGGGCCGTCGGCGAGCCTTATCGGGATCGATGAAAAAGATAAAGGCACTTGGAATCTTTTTATTTGTGGTGAAGAAAATTGTTATATATAGAGCGGCTACTATCCGGAGGGCATCACTGTCAGTACAACATGACCTCCGCCTTAGGTAAATAATAAAAACTGATTTCTGCTGGGTTTTGTTTAGTCGCACTCGGTGAAGGCACTCTACAGTTTGTCCTTTCTTGGAATACCTCAATTATTTTAACGTGAAAAACAGCCTTTAATATACCTTATGGTATTCCTATAAGAGTAAAACCATTCACGGATGTTCTGTTTTGCTTGGACAAGATGGCCAAGCATGTGTTGACAGATTTTAAGGAATTGAACGAACTCACTATATCGTTAAAACTGGTTTATCATACACGAACTGTTAAGACTTGGACATAGGAAGAGTCTGTATGTTTTTTGGCTACAGTCCACTTTATTTAAAACTCAACATCCACTAGTCTTATTTTGACTGTGCTTATTTGTACAATCTCTATCTTCTTCTTCTTAGTTTTATTTACCGACCACGCAGGTGTTCACGTATTCTGTCTCTTTGTGATACTAAATGGACTACAAACATATTATGACAACAATTTTAAGCTTTCTGTAGAGGTAAGGCTAATGCCTTGGTGGAACAACTCAAAAGGCAAACTGCATTTGTACAAGCCTCTAGATCTAGTAGTTATCTTCGAGCGAATCTCAAAAAGCCCTAACCATTTCCATAACTAGAATCTAAAGAATATCTCATCATAAACGAGAAATATTTATATTTTTATTATATTTGTATTGTCCTTGACTATATTCAAGATAAGTTGTGTCATAGTAAATTAAAGTTCGTAGGCATATCGATTGATTTAGACTACAATTTCATTGGCGTGACGAAATGTGATTGAAGTTTGTCTATCAATTATCAACTCTTATTTTCAATTATTAGTTGTATTAATTATTATTATTACTTCAGATAGAGCGATTATAGTAATTACAAATATTGTTTTTCTCTTGTCCCACGAAAGTAGATTTTCCGATCTTCCGTACGTAACTCTTTTGCCCAGACATCTGCTGAGGGAAATGGAAACCGCTATCGGTATATAGGCAGACCATCAAGAGTTTTTCTTTCTGAATTATCACACGATCGAACATTTACTGTCCTTTGTTGGCTGTGAGTTATCAGAGTGAAAACCATCTTCTCTCCAAGGCGAACAAAGCTCCCAGTTGCACAATAACTTCTTGTACTCATCACGGAAGGTCTTGTTCATGACGCCGTAGATAACAGGATTAATAGATGTACTTAGCTGACCAAGAAACGTGTACATCAGGTACACCTGACGCGGCAAAGCCCAAGTGCCTTGAGCAAATCCGATAAAATCCACGATACTAATAGGAATCCAGCAAATCAGAAAGCCGCAAACTGTAAGGAAGAGGGTCCGCGTTACGTTAATGTCCTCGATGGAAACCTGGCGTGGATTGGCACCTTCGAACGTCGACGAGTTCCTCAACTTTTTGATGCGGTCCTGGTGTTGACGCAGCAATTTGAAGACAGTGAAGTAGCAGGTTGTCAGAAGAAGAAGAGGAATAGCCACATAGACATAACCAAGTAAGGTGTAGAAATTGACTTGCAGCACTTGAAAACAGAAGACCTTGCCCGGATGGTATTCATAACGGTGCCCCGACAATAAATATGGCAGTGGTTCGGTCAAAGATACAAGCCAAACTGCTATGATCATTAACTTTGTATTCCTTGGAGTGAAAATTTTCTGGTACTTCTGTGGTCGAACAATGAGAAAATATCGATTGATAGCCACGAGGGTCATGGTCAGGAGAGAGACACACGCCAAGCAGGCAATGGAAAATCCTTGAAGCTGACACACGAAGTCGCCAWAGGCTCGGGTGCCAGTGATAAGGACCGAGACGCAGGGTGGAGCACAAATTGCCGCCATTAGGATATCAGAGACAGCCAGGGACACCACGAATTGGTTAGGAATGGTACGAAGATTGCGATTCCTGTATACAATCCATAACACCAGAAAGTTTCCAAACACCGCTGTGAAAATGAGCAAAGAACTGACGAGGGATTCCAATGTGACCAAAGCCAAGCTGCGGTCAGCTAAAAGAACTGCGTACTTTCGAAGCGAATGCTCCATATCAATCAAATTTGTTTAGTAAACTTCAGATTCTTTTGAACTTTACTTTTGTGGCAAAATCAACTGATGCTCCAGGAAGAGTCCTGCTTGAGATTACGACTGATGTTGATCCCTCCGAGTCATGTGTAAAAGTGGATGTACTTTTTCTAAGGCAAGTGTGTTTATAGTTTATCCCAACAGGTGTGGATATTAAGACTAATTGATATGCAACCAATTAAAACGGTTCGGGCGTTCGTTTGTTCGACTGCTTTAGAGAAAAGGCTGTCATTTAAAGTTGGTTTTTGGTCTTACCATTCATTAAGTCCTCACAGATGACTATCTCGCCTCTATCTCGACTGGGAAAGCGTCTTTTCACTACTGCTTTCATTTTATGTTCACAGTAATGCGATACTCGGGGAAAGAACAGAATAAGACGCTGTTAAATCATTAGGACTGAGCACATGGCCTACTTGGTTTTGCATATCTTAGTGACAGCCGGTCAAGACGAATGGTAAAAACGAACGAGTCAAAATTGTAATCTTGTTTAGATGATAAGAAGGGACAAGAAACGCAATAATTTTAATAACGAAAAAGACAAACAGACGGAACACCCGTGGATATTTTCACTATTTCTCTAGCCATGTGATAATCTGAATTTGAAAAGAATAATTGTCCGGTAAGCGATACTAAAATGGGTAATGTACTTTGAAAAACATTTTTAAGAGTTGAGCCCGGAACAGGTTGTTGTAAATATCTACACGCGACAAAATGGCTAGTTCACTTTTGAGAATAAATTTATCGCTTAAATCTCGTTTTAGTGTTTTCCTAGTAGGAATAAGATGCAGCATATTTCTTAACCACATCTCGTATGTCATGCTAACCAAGCCGCTCATTACGTTTCATAGGGTTTATATCTAAGCAGAAATAGTCGAGAACGCGACCTGATTAGGTTAAGATCACAAGCCACATTTTCTGGCTCGGAATCGAACCAAAAATGGTCTTGCGATGGTCCATTGATTATCACATCAAGTGTTTGGTCCGGCGTGAAAGAAAATTCATTTATTAATTAAGAAACCGAACATAGACTAACATAATTAAGCCGAGTGCCATGCAAAGACATTGACCGATAAATACATCCTTTTGGCAAACATTTGATTCTGCTTTGGACTAATTGGATGACTCACTTTGGTTCTTATTTCCCTATGTCATAATCAACGTGTTAACATCAAAGAAAAATGACACTTTGACAAGGTTTACTTTATACGTTTTGCAAATCTGAGAACGGGTTTATATTTTATTTTATTTTATGCTTTTCCTACATAATCTCTTACTAAATAGCCTTAGAAAACAGACGTCGAGGTCCTTTCGTTCCCCGTCACCGTAACGCGAAACGGGGGGGGGGGGAGTTAAGAAAGTCTGTTTTCTAAAGCTATACATACTGAGGAGTTCTGAAGGAACAGCATAAAATAAAATGAATAAAAGAGAGTCGTACATATATGTGTCATCTAGTAGCAAGACATATTCATAAATTGCAATTTCTTTGGGAACAATTGTCTAGTATATAGGTCCAGTAGATTTTACTGTATTCAAAAGAGATATTCCAATAAATAATAAATATACCAATATAATTATTGTCTGGTGTGTTTCCTTAGCATAATCTAATAATTACTGCAAAAAATACATGTAATATAAACTTAGCTTTGGGCTATAAACATCGATTAATTACCATAATCCCAAAGCAATTTTCCATTTAACTCAAAATTAAGAAAAGTAACAATCTATTTTAGTCAACTACTCAATTATACATAAATAAAGTCTCGTGATGTCTCGGGGGAAAAAACAACAAGAAAAACATTTTTCATTCAGTCCATTTGTTTTATAGACAAACAGATATCTAATATACTGAATTCAAAAGAGAGAAACTCAATCTGCATGCATCATTTGCAAATAAAGATTGAATGGACGTACGATATGACAAAATTTAGTGTCTGTTGTTTTTCTTTATGATATAATAAACTGCAAAAGTGTTTAGTAATAATAAGTAACAGTAAACTTAGCTTTAGTGGCCTTCGGCAGCCAAAGCATTATTTTCCGAAATTAATTTAAATGATTTTAGTCAACTATTTGATCATATAAGGCCCAGTTCAGACGTAGAACTTTTGCCGCGTCGAATCTAATTGCCTATGTGATCCAGCCCTATTTTTCGTTGACACTAGAATAAATGTGTATACCAAACTTAAACCAATGGCGTCTCCTGGCGCAAAAGAGCTGATGTCTTATATAGAAATTCTTGGAGTTCTTTAAATCGCATGCCTCAAAGTTGGGAGATGGACCTTTTCTATCTATATTAGGGGCGAGGTCAAAACAATGGTCCAAAATAGGGACCCGATTTTATGAATTAAGGTGGTTTGGTATCGGTACATAACCCCTCCCCCCCCTCAGAGACCTGTTCAAATGCTCTCGATATTGGGGGTCTGTAGTGGCAATTTCTATGCACAGATCTGATTTTTAGCATACATGCAGACAGACAGTTCATTCATTTCAAGATTTCACTTCCAGAGGTGGTGGGTACCGGGTAACACTACCCCTCCCCCCTAAATAATGTACCTGTCACGTGAGATGACAATTGTTTTACCCCCATCCCTTAGGAATGACAAATAATGGATGTGAAAAGATTAAGGAAGAAGATTCTATCTTTACCTAGCCAACATGGTTGGCACATGAAAAAGGTCCATGAAAAATCAGAGAACAGCGAAAATTCGATGCGCATGCGCTAGATCTCTAAACAAATACCGCTAACCGTCAAGCGATTGAGCAACCACTCAATGCCTGACCGATGTAAAATCAATTTATTATGCATAATATATCGATATAAAGATTTGATGTGTATTACTTGAGTTGAGCTGGTTTTCACTTGTATTGGGGTCGGATCATGATCATGCATAAAACTGCGAGTGAAACCAGCAGCACAACCAAAAAAAGGAAACCCTCCGATTCCGACGCGTTTCCGACTCCAATTCGCGATTCCGACTCCGTTTTCTTCACAATTTTATCCGTTCGTCATAAGTAGGTTGCGACTCTAACAGCACCAGCCTTTCCTGTCTGTATCAGCAAAAGCCTCGACTCGACTGGGGCTTAAAGATAGAAAAGGACTGTTTTTATGTATTACCTTTCAGATATCTTACTCTCTTTTTCCCTGCATCTCCTACAATAGTAGTGGTGATTTCTCCCCCATACTCTTCGAGGTAATTCAGGCATAAAGTGATTTCATCCACCAGCAGACCACACCCACTGAAATCAAACTTCCACTTTAGGTTTCCTGTTGTGCTGTCCTTGATCCTGTCGAAGTAGACCTCGCCAGAGTCTTCATCGACGTTTCTATACAATATCAAAATAATTGTTGAGGAAAAACACAATAGCATTTTTACGGTTACTAAAAATAGATATCGTAAAGCCTTGTGGGATCGAAATGCGGACAAACATTGCAAATAAAGGTTTCGATTACTTGGAAAGGAAGAATATCGGTCGAAAAACCATAGTTCTGGATTGGTAACAAGAAGACTACAAAACGTTGTTGTAGCATGTTATCATGTGCGCTGGGCTGGGCTTGTAAGCATTTCAATCCCATGAAGCACAATTGTGACGTCAACCGTGGAAAACGCTACTGAAATCAGATCACGCAGGATAATCAGTTGTTTTTTAAATTGGATACAAAACCGTTTTCATTTGCATTTAATTTAACACGGATTTTCTCGGTCAAACTTACTCCAATTTCAAACATTTTATTAAAAAATGAAATTATTCTCCTAATGTACAATATTCGTGGCCCATCTGTATTGGCTTTACAACTTGTTGGATTACTAGTAACTAAGAGAGATTGCGAATTTAAAAAGGATTTGTTTGAGAACCTGTCTGTATTCAAGCAAGCCTATACCAGCCTTTTAGTGCTATGTAAATAAATGAGCAATCAAAGGAGCCTGCATGATTCAATAGTGTATACGTTACTTTACTGTTACAGTGATAGCTAGCCCCGTAATGAACTGAGTAATCATTTAAAATGATGACGTTTTTTGTCTTGTTCGAAAGCGATGCGATTGTGGTTTATCGTGCTAGGGTTTGGCAAGGTTTCAGCTGCTTTTCACTAAAACAAATTAAGATCTTCCGTCCTCGAACAAGCTATGAGTCAAAGCTCCATTTAGATGCACGTCCGCTACACTAATGGAATACTGACTGGCTCTTGGCCCATCCGAGTGTAGGTCTCATTGTTAACCATTAAATAAGTATTGATCATTCACCTGTACACAGAGTCTAATGCGAAGATTCCTCTTTCCCATCCGGGCATTACATTATTTGAAGTGAGGCTGATCGAATCTGACCAATCACGATAGTACGTGTCACATGTTGTACTGTAGCGCAGACGAAACCTGAAAAAAGTGCAAACGAAAAGATAAGATACTTTTGTTGTGAAGATAAGCCATATATCGGATTCTACCAGTCTTAACATGCCGAGAGGGGTATATGGAAATCAGGAGTATCTCGTAGTGTACTTGATTCCCACAAGATAAAGCTTGCTTTGATTGGCCTAATAAGCGTGAACGCACATGTAATTGACAAGGCTCGATGAACCACAGGTGGACGTTACTCAGAAGTGCGCACGATGTACTTCAGCGCGTGTTCTTATACCTCGCTGGATGCACGTAATAAAGTGCAGAGAGGTCCTTGTGTACAATGATGAGACTGCCAGTATATGTTATGAATAAAAATGTTATATTTTTCATCGATTACGCAGAAAGTGGTTGCTCAGTCTCCCAAGCCAGAGGCTTATAACCAAAGCGCTTGACGGTTAGCGTTGTTTAGAGATCTAGCGCATGCGCATCGAATATTCGCTGTTCTTTGTTTTCAAAAATTTATAGGAGTTTTTCATTGAATTTTTGGATTTTTCCTTCCAGACCGAATTGGAATTAAGAAAACCGAAGAATCCGAAGAAAACCCTCCTTAGCGAATTACAGAAAAGAACCAACAACTAACTTTACCTACGTGTCATGGTGGGTGCGAGGATATGACCCACGATCAAAGAGGTAAGAGGCAGCGCATTAGCACCGCACACTACCATATAGTGCAGCGAGAAATAAACTGAGAACCTCCCCAAAATTCGGACTTTTTTTTAAGGTCGTTACTATGCCAACATCGATTTCTATATATTTATATATACTATAAAAGTTGGGAGACATCCATCCCGCTCTTTCAGGTGTTTCTAAAATCGCTGAGATAAATCATATTACAGTTGAAGGACATCAACTGTTTGGTCATTGACACCAATTGTTACCTGTTGTATAAGGTATTAACTGTTATTTCACTTGGTCTAACTGACTCAACGAAAAATGGCTAAGAAAAGGGCTAGTGACCAACGGCTAATGACTAATCAATCAGAGAAGAGATAGCCAATATTATCAACAGCTTTTGAATAAGGRTCTCCTTGACATTTTCGGTCCGCTTAGATCTTGCAGTCAAAAAGCCAATGCGATATTGAATATGTTAGGCATATGTTATCAATGTATTGGATATCATTCATTTAATCTTTTGATGTTGTGTGGGCTACACAATATAAACTCGCTAGGGAACTATCTTTAAGAACTACCGGGTGAAATATATTGCATGGCCATTTTCTTAAAAGCGAGGTTATCTGATATTGGCTTAAGAAGGAATGAAAGGCTTTTTGCTTTTAGAAAGAATTTTAGGAAAATTTCAATTTGCGCCTTTATGTATACCAGGATCGATAGCGCAGCGCAACCGTGACGTCATAAAAACGAAGACAGGCGAAATTCGGACAAACAAACTTACAAGTTTACTTTCAGCAGATAATTTTCACAGCCGATCGCAGTTGATCTCAGTTTACATGGGTTATTATTGTAACTTTAAGTAAAAATAATAAAATCGGTTTGTATAATCCTCGTAGCGGTTAAACAGAATGCAATGTTTGTCCGAATCTTTAAGCTATTTTTAGAATCAGTGCGCTGCGGTATTACCAACGTAATGTCTAGATCTTTTTACTCTGGCCAAGGACTTAGGGCCCGACTAACGTCCAATACGTTAGTAGAGTTTAGCCTCGTCACCAGGCTATTATCTTAGCTTATCGGCGTGACGTCACGCTTGAGATTTGACTCTCAGCTCTGAAGCGTCCACCATCTTGGATTGGAAACGGAGAGCTGACGGATTAGTCTGGGGACGAGGCTAAGTAGAGTTAAAACTTTTTTACACGGTGTTTAGGTTTCCTTCTTATTCACGCAGCGTTTTTACATTTGCCACGAATGGTGCTAAATCCATCATGGTTTTGCCGGTTTTAGTGCCGTCTTACTGAGCACTGACGTCATCTATTATGTTGCCATTATGTCGTCTTACAGCGTAGTTTTTCTTAGTAATTCCATCCGTTATTTTAAGTTTTAGCAGTTTCCGCTATCTATGGCACTTTACTGAGTGGTTTGATGTGTCAAGTGACCAGAGCTCATCGCGGTTTTTGAAGATTTGCCACATTAAAATCTTAATGGCTTTTACATATAGCGAACTTATTTGAATGATCGATATTATCTTATTTTTAGTCTCAAATGTATTTCGCCACTTAGAATGATTTTACTTCACCCGTGAAAGAATAGTCAACGTAATACATAGTAATAGGCACAAATTCCATTGTTTTCTTTTGTTTTTTTTGTTTTTTTTGACTGTTAGTTTCTAAATAATATACAACTTTGTTTCCAGGGCAAAGTAAAATCACTCTATGCCGGCCATGTTGCTACTTCGCGCCCGCCACAAGTAACTAGAGTTGATAGCTTTTCTATAGATTTGTCACATTGAAATGTCTACATTAAGACTTTTTTGGATGATAGCATCTTTGTTTTGCTTTTTTTTGCCACGAGCGACAAGCACTGATCATTGAAAAAAAAAGAATTTTCCCCTTTTGGCTGGTCTCTATCACTACGATTAATCCAAACACCACAAATAGCTCTGCTGTCTACTGGAAGCTTTTTAACACCATCTTGTTATTTATGTTTGCTAAAGCCCTCCATGTACGCTATGTAGACACCACAAATGGCTTGTACTTCTCTCTAGCTGGTCTCTATCACTATGATTAATCCAAACACCACAAATAGCTCTGCTGCCTACTGGAAGCTTTTTAACACTATCTTGTTATTTATGTTTGCTAAAGCAATCCATTTACGCTATTTAGACACCACAAATGGCTTGTACTTCTCTCTAGCTGGTCTCTATCACTATGTTTAATCCAAACACCACAAATAGCTCTGCTGTCTACTGGAAGCTTTTTAACACCATCTTGTTATTTATGTTTGCTAAAGCCCTCCGTGTACRCTATTTAGACACCACAAATGGCTTGTACTCGGGCGCGACGTTGTCACTTTTGAATAACCATTAACTTCTTATGTCTTACAAATAGTACGAGCAACAACACTTAAAACTGAAATGAGTACAGTAATCAAAAGAATATAGCTAGCACAGAAAAGGATTCGTATTAAATAGGAGGGCAAAACAGTAGGAATGAAGGATTCCTTTATTGTAGTAGGGTACAAACACGTACTGACACAGTGAATAAAAAAGACTATTGTTAGGGCGATCTCTGGCTATGAATAAAATAATATTTTGGAGATTTTTCACTCTGTTTTGGATAAGAACATCACCAATGGAAGGATGGAATTCTCAAGAGCTATTTCTCATAGTTAAGCTTGTTAAGAAGGGTGACAAAAAAAAACAAATTTTGACTTAATTATTATACTGCCTGATGGAGACTCACAGCCCGGAATCAAAAATTTGTAGTCAAAGACTCTCAGATCTTATTCATTTTTATTCATGTTAACTAATAAAAAGACGCCATGTTTTGGAGACATAAACTGTAATTAATCAATTTAGACCATCAACGTATATTTGAATTCCCGAAGGACATATGTGCAGACGCGGGGACGGATAAATAAAATGTACAGCTGAAAAGCTGCAATGGAACAGAAAGTCAGGATTTATGTCCTCAGTCATTATTCATAAACTCCGTTAAACTCCCTCGTAAAACGAAACAGCTTTGTCATAGATTTATTCTATAGTTAAGTAAATGGCAAGACAGAATGCTATTTCCTCACCCACTTGGATAGTTTTTTCATCACAAGAGCACTCATCTATTATTCATCTATTTCCAACTCAAAATTTGCCAAAATTTGCGAATTTTTGTGAAGGCAATCATTAGACCAGCCAATCGTATGAGACTCTTTTCACAAGCAGTTATCATAGAATCATTTCCTAAAGTGCCAAGCAAATATCAAGAACCCTGACTTCATCAACTCAAGTTCTATATTCCTGTTTCACAAGTGAATCGTAATAAACTTCAAAAACCTTTTAGCAAATTCATGATACGCGTTCTTAAGTGGGTTTCCATGGTGAAGCCCGCAGAATGTTCCGAACATTCAAGGCTTGACAGATTTCTACATTATGTCATCACAAAGCTAACTGTAATCCTTTGATATAAAAATTATATTTAATTCTATTATATTTTTCTCTCCTTTTTCTACGTTTATTGAAGTTCTCAATCAAAGGAGGCGAATTCTTGAAGGACTAATAAGGAGTTGACTTCTTTTTCATTCCTTTATTTTTTTTCTTAATTAAAAATATTGACCAAAATTATCGCAAATTATAACGCAAATGGTATAGCATTTTTGTTTTCAAACCAAAACCCGGAGTGGATATATGTATTAATTCAAAAAATATCGTTAAAAATAAAAAAAATACATTGCTGTATATTTTATATATATATATATATATATATAATTTTTTTTTTCCCCGAGACAATATGTTGACTAGAAAGTATGCCTGAGAAAAGCAGGTAGGAATAGAATTGAAATGCGATCAAATTTATATTAAAAAAATAACATGTTACGGATATCTATATTAGGAGATTTGCAAAAGAGCTGGGCTTGACTCCAAGATTGTGCCTTAAATAATAGATGATGTAAGTTGTTGTTACCTCGAATTGATAACCTCTTCCCTGTTCGGTGTAAACACGTAGCTGGAAGGTACCTGAAAAGATAGAGAAAATCAAAGCAATTTTCAGAAAACAAACAGTAAATTATTATTATTTACTTCACATTTGCGGTAAAATTGACCAGATGACAGTGAAAGGAAGTGCTTCTTAAAGGCATTCAAACCTACCTCCCAAATCATAGGGAAAAGAGATGAAGAAAAAATACTTATTAGAGCGTTTATTTTCCAATGCAAATCAAGGCATTTAAGTTGTGGTCTGACAAACTACAAACATCTAGAGCGGAAGTAACAAATCATCTTCAAAAAACTGCACTGAACAACCCTACACCTTTAATATCGAATGACATCTATAGTACAATATTGAATGTGAAGCTTGATATAGAAATATATTATCCTCTAAAAACACATCTTTAAGTCATTGACAATGTTCAAGAAGTAGAGAAGTGTTTTCACGAAATGGTAGGAGAAATACAGGCGAAAAAGAAACTTGAAATAGTGAAATAAAAACGAGACAGCTGTGAAAATTGGAAGACATTTACGAAGAAATGAATTGAAGCAGCTCATTTTCTTAGACAAACAGCGCAAGTCAATGGATTTATTTTCGCCTCTTTGTAAGACATTTGATGACTTTTTGCACCTGACTTTGTTTATCGTGCAAGGAATGTCGTTCAATAAAGCTATTTTACGACAAAGTTATTTTGAGAGTAAGATTTTTGCAGCAAATAATCCTACACGAAAGAGTTGCTTTTTTTGACAATGCAGGCAAGTCATTTCCTTACCTTGAGCGATTCATCCATACCCTGAAACATCGAATAAAAACGAMAGCGCAAAAGCACGACGCGCTTTGCAGAGGGTGAAATGTCGTGTTCTTTTGATCGGAGAAAGTAAGATCAAACTTTACGAACTCAAGCGTCATACGTCAAAATTGATTATGGGAAAAAGTAAAAAATCATTAATGCATCCGCTTTGGTGCCAAAATCCCGTGCTAATTTCCTTTTTTGAACGGTTCTAGGTAAATGGAGGATGCCTGAGGATGATTGATAATAAACACCAATAAAATAATCCTAGCTTTTCATGACTGCACTCTAGTATTAATGCCTCGGAACGAATTTGATATTTGAATCCAAGTTTTTTCCCGGGAAAAGCTGCGTTATGAAAAAGTACAAAAGTACATCAAAACAAGAATAGAAGTGTCGAAAAATTAAATGAGAATAAATATCATAATAAAACGATTGGAACTACAATTGGAATTTAAATAATGTAAGAAAAATAAAATGGAAAGATAATAGAGAAACGAAAAAAGAAATGAATTTTTTTTTAATGAACAGCGGGAATCATAAATAAATTATTAAGAAATAAAAATCGAGGTAGAATAGAGTATACAAAATCCAAATAATACCTGTGATTTTGAAAGAAAGTTGTGGGATATTTTGGTTAACAATGAAATTCTGATCAAGTGAATTTTWAAAAAATCACGAAAAGAGTAAACAAAAAAGGAAACACACGAAGATGTAGATGAAAAAAGTTATAAATGTTTCTGTTTCGCGTTTTTGAAAACCCTTAAGGCAAGTTTTTGTATTTTTATTTTCGATTTATTTTCTGAGAAAGCATAATGCATCGATTGAACTCGGGGATATCGATGCTGATTGTAAGTATTGTATGCTGAACTGATTATAGTTTGGTTAGCGAATGAGAAGGAAAAATAGAAAAAAGAAAAAAGAAAAGGAAGAATGATCCATATATGCAATGATTGCATGCTGAAGTGGTTATGATTTGATGAGCGGAAAAGTAGGGAAAATAGAAGAAAAGAAAATAGTAAGGAAGAATGATCCTTGCAATGATTGCATGCTGAAGTGGTTATGATTTGATGAGCAAAAGAGTATAGTGGGGAACATGTAAGAGTAGGGAAAAGAGAAGAAAAGAAAATAGAAATGAAGAATGATTGTATGGAGCTGTCAAGAAAATATTACGAGTCAAGGAAGAAAGGAAGAAAATTAAAAATTAAAAACAAGCAAAGAAAGAAGGGAAGGAATGCAATAACGAGGGATAAAAAATAGAAGGAAGGAAGAAAGGAAATGAAAAAGAAGTAAAAAAGGGCAAAGTAAAAAAGAATGAAAAATGAACGAGAAAAGGGGAAAGAAAGGAAAAAGGAGATGGAAACGTTCAAATAAATCGCTAAATTTCAATAGCCGAGGTTGAGAAAAAAACTGGGTCGAGTTGGCATCGTACTGCAGTGCATTGTGGGACTATTTTATCGGAYCAAAATTCCAAGATGGCGTCGCGGATCGGAAAGGCTAATAGAAACGAGCAAGTTGCAGCTTTCCGACATGCTATCTTTTCTTATGCTTTATCAAGCAGAATTGATTGAGTATATTCTTACTATTTAGTATTCATGCCATGTATTCTATGCAACAGGCTCTAGTGAGAGGTGTCGATCTGCTCGATTTRAAGCATTGCTTCTGCTGATATTCAATGACGGTTAATCTATCAGTTTTCTCTGTAATCACAGAGTGGGACATTCACGAACGGAACCCTCAGATCCATGCTAGCCCAAGATCAAATTGGAATTTACGAGTTGATTTTTGCGGAGGGAGGAAAACCGGAGAACACGGAAAACCCTCGAAACACAGGAGAGAGCCAACAAACAATTCTACTCATATACAACACCGAGCTCGTAGGGACTCGAACCAGGGCGGTCGCATTGGTGAGAGGCGAGCACTCTCACCGCTACGCCACCCATGCTTCCCTATAGTTAACTATAGTCTATGGCGCTTTTCTTTATTATTTATTTGACTACCTGTAGATTACTCCATACTCCCATTAACGTGATAAAGGCTGCTGGCCGTTTAAGAATTGCTGTATATGGAATGATGACTACTTGAAAATTATTTATAATTTAATTCGAGAAAGAAATATGCCTAAGGG